ATAGATTCGATAATTTCGTGGTGAGTGAGTCTCTTTTCTCCTAAATATAAATAAAGAAGTAAAATCAATTTCTTAAGCGAATCTACTTTGAAATAAAACAGAAATTTTTAGTTTGGATTTTTCTGTGCGTATTACTGTATGCTTATCATCTTTCAAAGAAGCATATATAAATGAAGAAATACTGGAAGAAAACTTTGATTTTTAAATGAAAACTAAACATTTTTTTCTCGGTTATAATTTAGAAATAACTATATAATTTTTGATTCTTATTAATTTTCAAAAGGTGTGCCGCTTAAATTGAAGAAATGTACGAGGTGTAACACAAAAAAAAAAAAACGAGATAGGTCCAATAAATTATAATATTCACAGAATTAGTTCTCTATAACAGTATTACCTTCAAAGTAGTTCACTTCAGCATTTAGACACTTCTGCATTCGGTGCTGCCATTGCTGGTAACAGTTTTGGAACGAGGTTTTTAGAAGTCCTTTCCGATTTTGCTTGAACCTCTTCAACTGAGAAACCTGATCATTGGAGAATTATTCATTGGATTCTTATAGAATATCTTCATATATATTTCAAAAGATAACATAAAAGTAAAAAATAAGAAGAATGGTTAAAAAGCAGAAGGTATAAAAATTTTAATTATATTCCACATCTTGAAAAATGGAATTGACAAGCAGCAAACACAAACAGATATTCAGAAGTTTTATTTAATAAGTTACGATAAAAAAATAAATGACCCTGTTGAATTAATTACGAGGTGTGACACAAAAAAAAAACTGGTCCGGCAAATCAATGTACTTACAGAACCAGTTCTCTATTTGTAAGGGCGTACACCTTGGGTGCCCTTTTCATAAGTTATCAGCGTGAGCTAGAGGTGTGGGATTAAATGAAGAACCAGAAGCTTCCATAATTTTAATATTACTTTATTAAGATCTTAACCTAAACCCCAATAACACAGATTAGGTAATAATATGATATGTGAGAGATTCTATGGTGGCGAAACACAATATATAATACCGAAATAACGTAACCCGAACCACTATCGATAATTAACTCGCCTAAGCTCAATTTCAATGTAAACACAGATCCGAATATTAAAATGGTACCTCCTACCTTAATGTCCAACAAAGCAGCAATCTATTGAATCATAACTGTAGTTGTTGTTCACTGGCGTGGAATTGTTCCACCTTGACTAAAGGCTCTCTGTCACGGGTAACCTCTCTCTTGACTGTCACTTAACTTCTCGAAATATTCTTCACACTTGCAACATGGACTATCGTAACACTCCCCAAATGCCACCCCGCTTACTCTAAACCTTTCTTCCCTAATTTTTTTTTCACGAAGTCTTTTTAGTAATTCAATATACTAGCGTTGATTAGTTGATCACTGACGTGAATGGGAACTCAGTCATACCATGAATTTCGGCAATGTTTTGATCTGTAATCGCAGACCTTGGGTGCCCAGCAAGTTCATCCTCTTCCATACTGGCGCTTCCCCCTGAAAACTTCTTATACCATTCAAAAGCATTTGCATAATACAAAGTTTCGTTTCCATAAGCTTTCGTTAGTAGTTGAAATGTTTCCATGGCTGATTTCTTATGTTTCATAAAAAAAATTAAACATTGATTCGGCATTTTTCCGGCAGGAAGCAGTTGCCCGTGTTCACTCAATGACACAGTACTCTAAATTGGCGTGATCGTCTTAGGCGAAACTGGCACATAGGAAGAGGAGGGGAGTGGGATAACGTCATCAAAACAGTTGATGTCAACTCCACTCTTTTCTCAAGCTACACACTTAGACTCGTTTTTTTTTTGTGTCACACCTAGTATGTTTGAAAAATTATGTTTGAGAATAAAGCTCTTCTTAAGGTATTCGACTACGTTCGGAACTGTGATTTTAAAAAGGCGCATAAATGGATAATTTTCATGATATTTAGTGTCACTTAGATTACAATATATGTATAAAATTGTTTTAAGGACATTTTAGCAAAAAAATAATTATTTAAATACAATATTTGGGCAAAAAATTAACTTAGAATAATCTTTTTTCAAAATGTTCTCCTTTTGTGAAAAAGGCTTCTATTATAGTAATATTTTGCCTGTCTATAGCTCAGAACGCTGTACAGAGGCTCAAGTATGATTTTTGAAAAATTCGCATTATTTTCAGAGTTACATCCCATTGAAATAATGATCGGCATTTTTTTCTTAAAATTTCTCCCCTCTGTTGTCGTAAAACACGGATAAACCCACTTCTAAGTTATATATTCCAAAAATTCTAATTGAGCCTCTATACAAAGGTCTGCGCTATATACAGGCGAAATATTATTATCATAGAAGCATTTTTCACGAAAGGAGAATATTTTGAAAATGGGTCACATTCTATGTTCATTTTTTGTCAAAATAGTGTACTTAAATAATTTTTTATTGTAATACTATTCTTGAAACAATTTTATATACATTTTCTAATCTAAGTGACACTAAATATCATAAATATTATCCATTTATAAACTTTTTCAAAATCACGGTTCCGAATGTAGTCGGATACCTTTAAGTTTGAGTTAGTAAGTGTTTATTAACATCGCACTATAAAGCAACACGAAGGTTACTGACTACGATCAAGTGACGATTATAAAGTTTAAGCTTACACTCCTTTCTCAAAAAACTACTTCACTACGCCAACTGAAACATTTGAAGTGAGATATTTAGATTAAACAAGAGGCTAATAAGAAAGGAAATTCGATTTTGTAAGAAAAATAGGTATCCAAAAAATGAAGTGTACATGAATTTAGCATTAACTAATTCAATGGGGTAGATTCATGTGACGTCATAGTCACATGATAACAGCAATCCCATGTTTCCAGTTAATCAGTTCATAGAAATATATAAACAAGGGCAAGACATTGAATAACTTGAATCTTTAGACCCAGTTTAATCAGAAGATCCAATGAAGGTTGAGAATTCGACAGAAGGCCTTACTTTAATTGAGAAAGGGTTACAAAATTTAAAAATTATAGACTTCAACCATGAGCCTACTTTTCCAACAAAACAATGAATAAAAAAAATTATTAGCATACTGCTAAGAAATTTTCTGGTAGAAAAAAAATATCCTTCATCAAGAAAACTCTAATCTGTTTGATTTTATGAAATTTTCTACATTAAAATAAGCTCAGTTTGCTGTGTTTTGTACTTGTGTTACTTGAGATTTTATTAAACTTTTTTTTTCTAAATAATTGTTTCCCATTGTCTCCAACCCCCAAATAAAAATAACTTACATGTATTTATACATGCGAAATTTCACCCCGACTTACGCGAATATCACTCACCACCACCTATCGTGTAAATCCGGGCTAATGCTGTACATACGGCACTTTCTAGTATTCCACCCATCAATTGCCGATGTAATAAGGAATCGAACTAGCAATTCTTTTAGAATACTACAGATCGTCAATGGCGTAACGTACACCTCCGCATCGCGGGGGAGGGCGAGGGTTCTAGGAACCCAAAGCTTGACTGCCGCCAATTACCTACCCTTTCTAAAATCCAACTTGGGGCCCCCAAACCTGACTTTGCAGGGGACAAATGTTCTCCGTTAGTTAGGTCACTACAAAAGTTATTGAACTATCACAACGTCCAATAGGTCTAATTTATAACGGTCAGATGATTAATGTAATCACGAGTTCTTCATTGAATTCCAAACTCGCACTAGACTTGCTTTTATACTTGTATAAAATCAAGTTAGAATTTCAAATCTGATAATTGAATACAGATGTTCAAGTACTATATTAAGGTTCTTCCACAAATCGTTTCAAATTTTAAAAAAATATATATATTATACGCGTGCTTTTTAAGTCAAGTTCATTTTGTTTAGCTGTAAAAGTTATTATTGTTGACAAATATGCAATCTTTAAAATAAAGTTTATACAAAAAGTAAAAATTGGCAGCAGTAAAGGATTGCGTGGAAGCACGTAATTGAATTTATCATGCGACTAAGACGTCACATGACGAATTTCTGCACTGATTGGCTGAAAACACGTGTTTGCACTGATGTCACTGTGATGTCACATGAATTTAGCCCAATAGAAAAAGAAATCTGCTAAAAAAAAGGAATAGAAAAAAAATTAATTCAATTTCTACTTAGGTCAAAAATGAAAAAAAAAATTTAGTTAATTTTTATTAACCCGCGGTCACTCGCGCCTGTTTTTGCTACCGTCGTTACTCGCGGGGTGTAGAGAACACCCCAAACTTTTAACGCGTGTATTTAATTATGAAAATAAAATTAAGTCATTATGATACATATTAATAAAGTACAAGATGTTTTTTATATTATACAAATAAAATTATTAAATTTATTGCATACAAATGAGACTAATATTAATTTAAACTAAACATACAAAATTTTCATTTTAAAACACATAATTTCATATTTTTTCATAAACCAGTATATATATATATAAAACGTATATACCAGTAATAAATATACTTTGTACTTAATGAGATAATGATTGTAGAAAGTAGAAAAGTAATATTTTAATCTCATTTTCCAAACATTCAGAGCAGACTGCATACATATGCTCACCTTCTCGCGGGAGTTCTCAGCCCCCCAGATAAATTTTTGAAAGTCATTATATGCCAATCGTTCGAGAAAGAAGGATTGCATCAGGCCTGAAGGTTCAATGACCTAAAATGTGCAGCTACTTAAAAGATTGTGGTTCTGCGCATTCTTTTTAGAATCCTGGGAGGATTTTCTTGTTGCTGGGGTGTACAGAACATCCCACGCGAGTGATCGCGGGTTAAATAATTACAATATAAATATATACATATGACAGAATCACAATATTAAGTGGTAAAATAGAAAGCGATTTCCCTTCAATTTTCCATTTTCCTTTCTATATAGGAAGTTGAACTATTATTTTTGTTTGTTAGTATTTATTCATTAATTCAATTTAATTTTTCCAATACAGTAGAATAGTAAAAGAAACCCCATTATCAGAAATTGGGCCATTCCAGGTGGGATTCAAACCCACAACTTTTGGATGAGAAGTCCAACGCGTGATTCATTGCGCTATAGGGATACAACGAGCGATTTTCCTTTCATATGTGCTTCCACACCACAGGTCCGAGGTTTAAACCCGGATGTGAGCAAGGTTGACTCGGCCTTTTATCCCTTCAGTGGGTCGATAAATGAGAAAAAAAAGTTTGCTTGGGAACTTAACACTGGAGGAGTTTCGCGACATACTGACCACCTGACCGGAACATCTGCTCATGCATCTCCGGGCCCAAGGTCACATATACTGAGTTAGGAACAGTAAGCTTTGGCCCTCATGCGCTACTGCGCTCCAGGGTCAGGCATATCCATAGAAGCTCATGTTAAATTACGTAAGTTTATGTACCTTTTTCTCAGAAACTTCTAATTACTAATAGGTGGTATTTTCACAGTAGGTTATACATACTATCAATAAGACTTTAACTGAGGGTTTTGTCTTTTTGTTAAAAATTAAAAAAAATTATGAATTCTTTAAAAAATGCCAAAATAAAATTCCTTTTTAAAAACTAAGTCTGTTTCTGACTTAAAATCATGTCATACGTATATATATATATATATATATATATATATATAGGGAGAGTGTGAACTAATAGTAGGAATTGAAGGAATAAAAAATTAAAAAAAAGCAATGTTGCGCAAATAAATCATTCCCACAATGAAAATTTAAGTAAATCTTTCAGCTACATTATCACATCAATTACTTTTTTGGTTTATTAGCATAGTTGCAATGTAATTGTTTTTTTTTTCTGCTAATAAATAATAAAGTGCTAGGTACGCTTTCCAGTAATTATTTTTCTTATGCATCGAGCACTACGTGCCAAGGTCATAAAGTAGTAATTTCCTGAATTAAACTAGGAAAAAATCGCAATAACCCGTTGAGAGTATTTAATCATTTCCCGAAGTAAAACAACACATTTAGATGAAAATCAATTTCTGAGAAAAAAAATTATTCCCCCAGTTTCTTTAATAATTTTTATCGTTGAATTAATTTTTTTTTTCTTTTTCCTTTCTTGATAAAGAGTTTTTATGCATTGTTCTTTATTTATATTTTATATTGCAGTGTTGGCGTTCTCTCCGGAGATTTGTATAAATAGTAATTTAAATGTTGTTAATCCGAAATAGCTTTTAATATACTGTCTACTATTCTAAATGCATCATTCGCATTTTAATGCCAAGACAAATGGAAGACCTTAAAGGTATCCGACCACGTTCGAAAAAATGATTTTAAAAAAGCGCATAAATATATAATTTTCATGATATTTAGTGTCACTTAGATTAGAATCAATGTATAATATTGTTTTAAGGACATTATGACAAAAAAATTATTTAAATACACTATTTTAGCAAATAATTAACTTAGAATAACCTTTTTTCCAAATGTTCTCCTTTTGTAAGTAATGCTTCTATTGTATTAATATTTTGCCTGTATATAGCTCAGACGTCTGTACAGAGGCTCAACTATGACTTTTGAAAAATTTACATTATTTTCAGAGTTACAACCATTTGAAATAATTATCGGCTTATTTTCTTAAAATTTCTCCCTTCTGTTTTCGTAAAACATGGATAAACCGACTTCCGAGTTATGCGTTTCAAAAATTCTAGTTGAGCCTCTGTAGAGAGGTCTGAGCTATAGACAGGCAAAATATTTATACAATAGAAGCATTTTTTACAAAAGGAGAACATTTGGAAAAAAGGTTATTCTAAGTTAATTTTTTGTCAAAATAGTGAACTTAAATAATTTTTTATTGTAATACTATTCTTAACCCAATATCATAAATGTTATCCATTTACACGCTTTTGAAAAATCACGGTTCCGAACGTAGTCGGATACCTTAAGAGGGAACATGAATAAATTATTTCATATATTTTCATCTAAGGATGTATTAGCACAAAGGATACATAAAGAAACGTCATAATTAAATAGCGTACCTAGACTTTATGCTTATATATGTGCTTAAAAAAGGAGTTTGTGAACAAAAAAATGAGGGGGAAACCTTCCAAGAAAATCTGCGGGAAAAAGAAATTTCCAAGTTTTAATTGACAAAAACTGAAAACATTAAGAATATATTATGAACGTATTTCCATAAAGCTTTTTGATTCTGATATTTATATTATTTTCTAGAGAATGTACAAAAATATTTCTTGTTGTTATAATATTTTTTATAGTCATCGCCTGTTATTTAAGGTATCCGACTACGTTAGGAACCGTGATTTTAAAAAAGGGCATAAATGGATAATTTTCGTAATATTTAGTGTCCCTTAGATTAGAATACATATATAAAATTGTTTTTAGGACATTTTGACAAAAAAAAAATATTTAAATACAATATTTTGGCCAAAAATTTACTTAGAATAATCTTTTTTCCAAATGTTCTCCTTTTGTGAAAAATTCTTCTATTATAATAATATTTTACCTGTATATAGCTCAGATCTCTGTACAGAGGCTCAACTAGAGTTTTTGAATTATATAAGTTAGAAGTGGGTTTATCCATGTTTTACGACAACACAGGGGAGCAATTTTAAGAAAAAAACGCCGATAATTATTTCAGTTGGTGGTAACTCTTAAAATAATGTGCACTTTTCAAAAATTCTATTTGAGCCTCTGTAGAAAGGTCTGAGCTATATACAGGCAAAATATTATTATAATAGAAGCATTTTTCACAAAAGAACATTTTGAAAAAAGATTATTCTAAGTTAATTTTTGGCCAAAATATTGTATTTAAATATTTTTTTTGTCAAAATGTCCTTAAAACAATTTTATACATGTATTCTAATCTAAGTGACACTAAATATCGTGACAATTATCCATTTATGCTGTTTTTTAAAATCATAAAGAATGTCACATTTCTTATATTATATTTACTCGGTTAGCCCTAGAAATTTTAATTTTAATAAAACATTAAAATTTTAGCACATTTTCCAAATAAATGCAACTAATTGCTTTAGTAATACTTTTACTGATATAAGTTTATTACTTTTTTCTCTATTTGCTCTGAAGTTTTTCAAAAAATTGTTGCTAAAATTTCAATTATAATTGTGATATTCGTAAAATTTAGATATTTTTTGAAATATCGGTAGCTAAATATTAGTATTTTTGGTATTGATTCCTAAAAGGCATTTAAAATGTTTTAGTGTTGTATTTTTTATACAAGTGATATAAAAAGAATTTTTTTATGTTAATTCCTGCTAAAAAACAACAAAGAAAAGTTTTATTTTATATATATAAAATTATTTGTATCGAATAATTACAATTAATATAAATATGTATATACATATGACAGAATCACAATATTAAGGGCAATTAATTTCTATCAATTATCATTAAAGTATCGTATTGCCATCCAAACAATCGTGTATATAAAATTTCAGTTCAACTGAAGGCTTTAAAACGTGAGGAAAAAAAATATTTTAATGTTTTTAACCAAGTCACTTAAAATGAAGCCAACGTGACTGTTTCAGAAATTCTTTAAATAATTAGTTTCAGTCAATTAATATTAATTAATTGTAATTAAATTGTTGTATTATCACCCAAAACAGTTGTGTATAGAAAGTTTCAGCTGAAATAAGGGCTTTAAAAAATGAGGAAAAACCCTTTCAAAGTTTTGACACAAAGTGTCGATAAGTCGCCAAAAATGATGGCAACGTGGCTGTATCTGTAATCCTTTAAATTATTAGTTCTAATCAATTAATTTTTATTAATTATAACTAAATTACCGTATTGTCATCCAAAATAAACATTTTTATAAAATTTCAGCTCAATTGAGAGCTTTAAAATCTATTTTATTAATGATTGAAAATTTGAACAAGATAAATATATACATAAATAAATATATAGAGCGTGAGCTAATAATAGGAATTGAAAATTACGAACGTGTTCGGATAATTTAAGCATTCATTAATCCAGATCAAAATGTGTTCCTATTTTCAATAACACAAGAAATTACAGCACTTTTATCAAGTTAACTCTTTTGGTACCCAATTTAGCATTTTTATAAACGTTTATTTGGTATGAAAATTGGAATAAAAATGTTTGTAAGCTCAGCCAAATTATGAAAAACTAAAATATTAAAAAAAAAATCAATCATTTTTAAAGTGTTGCATACTACTTTGTAAAATGTCTATAGATTTGTAAAATGTCGTGATTCTTTAACTCATATCCATACTTACATAAGAGAGTCTATACTATATAAATCCCAAAATAATAATTTTACTGTTAATAAACTATATGAAATCAACTGCATAAGCATCTTTTTTCAGAAATCAGAGTATTAATTCATATTCTAAATTCTGTATCTAGAATATTTTGAGTGCGCCTCTTTGGGGAAATTTCCTTTCACAAAAGTGGCAGAATGAATCACTTTATGCAAATTGAGTTTCGGTGTTGAATTTTGATCAGAATTCTTAGAATATTTTATCAGCACTTTGAATACAGATGTCCCTCAAACCCCAAAAATATTTAAATGTGGCAATGTTATACTTTTTGCCTTTACTTTTCAAAATGTCTGACTTAAAATTAAATTAAATAAATCACTTACAACTATAATTGTGTTCATTGAGCCAATCTGCGCTGAAGTTTATAATGAGAAAAATGAAAAATGTTTGGAGAAGCGTTTTTCTGTGCGAATGGGGTACAAAAGACTTATATTCAGTTACATACTTGAACAGATATATATAACAAATTTCTGTAAATCTTACAAAAAGGAATTCAATATAAAACATAAACAAGAAACATGAGAACTTTACTTTGAAGATCTGGAATTTTGAAAAAAACCCTTGAAGACATGCCAGCTCCAAATTTCGAGCAATAGTCAGAGCTACTTTTTATACTGTCAAAGTACAAAATAAATGAGAAAAAGACTCAACAAATACTCATAAATGAGGAAACGTTCAATTAAATTCAACAATTTTTTGACATAATTTATACACTCAATTGCAAATAAACTAAAATATGTACCCCTATAATGCATGTATATTTTCAAATTTCTCTACATCAGTGGCGTAACGTACACCCATGCATTGAGGGGAATT